GGTCCTGCCTTTCAGTGTCTTGAGCTGTTTAGTCAGGAGTTTGCCTACCTGCTCCTGCTCTTCTGTGAAGTGTTTAACTGAAGGTTATCAATGGATCAGTTGCTAAGCGCGAAGGTGGAGATATTTCATTTGTTTTGATCTGGAACATCTGATGATGACAAAGCTTTCGGGTCGCATTGGATCCCTTTGTGGCTATTCCGCGTGGTGGACAGGTTCGTGTTAGGGAAGGAGACCTTGCCCCAGAACATTTTTGTGATCACCGACATTTTGATAACTATTAACTTTTGTAGAACGGGACGCGTTCATTAATTGCTCTACACCGTTTCAGCTGAGACTTTTAAAAAAAGAATTAAATCTAACTACGAGAAGAAACAATGAAAGAAACGGACGTTTTGCCACTAATCGGTCAATCCCGCGGATATATACCCTTGTCCCCTTTCTAAAGAAACGGTACAAAACCTGCTGAAAGGGCTTGTGGTGATGTACCGATGAACGCCTGCAGCAATAATTGATCTGCCAGCGCTTTAATGAAAAGCGAGACTTCTGAAATTTCTTCAATTTCTTTCAAGTTTGGACCTCCGAAAAAACGGAGGAAAAAAGAGGGTTATAGGACGGGGGTCGAACAGTCACATCAGTTTAAAACTGCAGTTCCAGAATTACCTGTAAATGAAGACAGGAGAAAGGGAGATCCACTAATTTTTCATATTTAAAACGCGACTGTCATCTGCGTTTATTTGCGTGTTTGTAATAGAAACCTGTATTAAATGCTCTGATTACCGAGTTAATAAACGCACTTTGAGACGTGCACATTGAAATTAATGTTACAGTACATTTTGCACTCTCACATGGAGCCGAAAGCGTTCTTTCGAAAACAAACAACAACACATTCAGAACGTGAAGGGCTTTTCGACATTTTTAATTCGTCAGTTTGTTACTGTGATAACTACTTTCCTCAGAGAGGGTTTGTACTTCATATTACGTATTAATCATTGCCGTCCTCATGATTAACCGTCATAACCACTATTTACTTGAAACCCAGAATACTATATATATATACTGTATATGTGTTTATTTCTGATAATGGCGTGACTGATGTTTTAGGATGACATGTTTCAAAACTTGTAAAATACTGCGTTAGGATGTCAGATTAAATGATCATTCTTACTATTTCTCATTACAAGGATAAAAGAAACGCCGCTGGGAATCTGTCTCAGGGACATTCGTTATAATCAGGAACCTGAGTTTTCAGGTTACAGGTTATTTTAAGAAAGGACCACTTTAACCATACCTTTAGATATATGTTTAAATCTCCCGATAATTGTGTTAAAAAATCAAATTAAATCAAAATGGTGCGCTTGCTGTTAGTAGTGGTTTGCTCTAATGTCAAATTCATAACCTGAATTTTGCTGTTGCTGTTTTTTTCCAGGGGAAAAAGCGGGATATTTTGTCTCATTTTTTCCCTAATTACAGCCTTTAAATGATTTTGAAACTCTTTATCAACATTAAAACTTAGGTTTGGTTCGGCATATAATACAGTTTCGATACAAAGTCTTGGTTTTCAGATAGGATGGTGCAACACTGGAAATGTCGAATGTAATGCATCTTAAGGGTATTTTTAGTTAAGGAACAAGTGACATTAAAACCCATTAATATACCTTTACTGTAGTGGAAAGAGTGCTGGTCAAATGAAAGTTAATATATTGTGTGTTCCCATTTAAGCCAATGGGTATTTTATTTTGCATACTGTGTTCATTGGTTCAGAATTGCCTGTGGTCCTGGTCGTCTTGTTGTAGCTCTTTGTTGAATTTAGATTTTTCATGAATCTCAGGTGTTCTGGGACCCATGTTACAGTGCTTTTGCATTTTTGCATTGTTCTGCTCTTTTCACTCAACGGTTTTCCAGCTCCATGCAGAGACAGAATTCCACAGTGATTGTCTCCTGAATTTTTAGCTGTTTTGTTTTAAGCTAACGATTCCTCCTGAAGGGTCAGTATTTTGCAAAGTAGTCTTTTAGGCTCCTAGATTTGTGGAGAGAGGAAAACATTACACCTGATAGATAAGGTTTGATTGGTACATGTGTAGTTTTAGCTACCACAACACTTTCTATTGACTGCTTGTGTACGGTTCACCATTGGACTTTTTGGGATTGTGGATTTAAAGTATGATCAATGTGAATTATTGTTTGCTAAAAGACAAATTGGTTCTTGTAACCCAAAAGCAAATGCAGAAACACAGAAAGGGCTAGTAGAGGCTTTGAATAAATTGTAATAACAGATACAACTCCTGATCGGGTCTATGATGTCTGAGGCTTTGACATGGCACTGTTTCTCACTGCAAACTAGAGGAGACTAGCAATTCAGAAAACCGGACTTGCAATTCAGGAAGGACGTCCTGGTGTGATAAAGAAAATACCACTTGGAGTTTGAAAAGCAGAAGTGTTTTACTGAGAGCAGTCCATAACCACTTGTATCAGAAACACAAACAGGACACATTGCCAAGTGGTGGAAAGGAAGCATGGTTAAAACTATACTTGGATCTGGATCATGTGTGGTCAGACAAGTTCTGTTTTTCTCTGTTTCAAATGATTAGAGCTTTTGGGATTGTCAGCAGTCCCAGAACAGTTACCTCATTGAGCCTTTTGTGCCAACTGTAAATGTTATTGGTGGTTAAGTATTGGAACCTGTCTAGGCTCTTTGATTTAGAAAGCAGGGGTCATGAAAGGTATTAGGACACTGGGGTAGATTAGTCTCTGTGTTCCTCCTCCTGGGCCCAGGAGCTGGTACATATATTGACCAGAGCAATGCGATGAGGCTTGTGCTCAAACAAATCTTTCACTACTCCCTCAGCCTGACCGCTCTTGTCTCGATCTGCCCGAAAACCAGGGGAATGAACTGGGACAGAATTCCCATCTGGTGCTTGAAATTGTAGCACACAGCACTGGTGATCTGAGACAGGCAAGGTTTCCTGGAAGAAAAATCTGCCTTTCAGAAAAGCACAAAATTATTAGATCCCTATGCCCTGTGTTGTACAAAAAAAAAAGGTTTTGTTTTCAAAAGAGCCCTGAAAAAAGAAATACCATCTGCTTTTGTAATAGCTGTCAGGGAGTTTTCGCAGTTTAATTCCTAGTGCCTTTTTCGTGTGTGTGTGCCTGTGTACAATTTCAACCCAGGGAATCTCTGGGTGACCAAAGCCTTTGCAGCCAAAACAGATAGTACTACATTTTAAATGTACTTAACGGGAGAAAGTAAGTTTCCTTTGTGACTTCAACTTATCTGTGGATGTAGGCTCTGTTAACTATCTGCCACATGAAGCAGAGAACAATCTGCATCTAAAGCACATAAGACGAACTCTTATTTTAGTCCCTAGAAACATTAATGCTATGCAGCATCCCTCTTGTAAATCTTATTATATCATATATTCAACTGGATACTCTCAGTGGAGAACTGTCAGGCTTCGTGGAATACTAGCTCATTGAGCTCAAGGTTTAGTGGTTTCTGCATCCTGTATCTCCTTCCCGACACTGGAACCAGTTATCCCGCCATGTTTCAAAGCTGACGTCGTTCAAGGAACAACAGGATGAGAGCCTCTTATCAGTGAGCTGCTAGCGCCCGAACAGACTACCTTAGGCTCAGTGTCTTAATGCTTCTTGACTGGACCATTACTAAGGGTACCAGCTGAATCGCAGAAATACATGTGCTTCATCAATGCAAGCAATATGCAGTCGGATTCAAGAGAAATCAAACCTTACCAACATTTTTTGTGCTTTCAAAAAGTTTGTGAGGGAACAAAAAGAGGTCTAGAGATAATGGGTACCAGATTAATCAGAAAAAAATATCTTTGCAGCAAAACATTTTAAACCGGAGAGATGTGAAAGAGTCTTATTTTCAGGGTAGTATATATAGTTACACTGTTACAGCCTGGAGCACTAAAATGTCTGCTTAGTAATTGTGCATTTTGCTTACCTTAATGGCAATGTTGTATCAGTGAAAGCACTACTATCTATTACCTTCATATGTATCCTGTTATGCACACTAATAGCATTCTTGTTCTTTAATGGCATTATGTTCTTCCTTGACATGCATGTTCCTGCTTGATGTTGTCATGCAGTATGTTTGGTGGAATCAATCACAATTGTTTTATTAATGCAGCATCAAGAGAGTGCTCGTCACTGCACTACGCAGACAGCAGATCAAACCCCCTGTCCCTGGAGAAGCATGTTGGAAGGCAACCAAAGGACTCCCAGTGTCACCACATGCTTAAACATCTTCACAACGGAGCCAGGATCACAGTTCAGATGCCGCCTAACATTGAGGGACACTGGGTCTCCACTGGGTGAGAGTTTCAATCAGCTTTGTACTGGGGCAATCTTTACTGGCAAAGAGATTTGATGGGAAAATGATTAACCAATACAGTGAAATGTGAACAGTTTCATGACGTTTTCTATATATAAGTTGATGTACTCTTTTTTTTTTTGGAAGAGGGTTTTTTTGCAGCTCTTGTCTTATGAAATTACAGTATCTGGATATTGGACTCTAGAAAGAAAACTGATCATCTGAAAAACGTCAAAGTAAAAATATCTAAAGTAAAAGGCATATCACACTTATTTTGATGCTTTTGTTGGTTGTGAAGTGCCACTTAAAGCTCTTCCTGGGTCCTAGTCTCTAACTCTGTCATAGACCATGAACTGCAGGGACTGTCATGGTACAGACTGGTCGCACCGAGGCCCGAAAGTCGTGGTGTTCAGTGCGGAGCTTCTGGGTGAAATGTGCTCTCAGTGATAAATTTGACCTAACCGCATTTAAAATTCTTCTGTACTGCACAGAAGTCCACAAGAAAAGAATGTATCTGTAACTTTAACTTCCACAGCTGACCAAAAAAAATCTTGCAAAGATTTTAGGATTTAATATGATGTGCGGCATGCCTTTTCTAAGAACCTGGCTCCTTATAAAGACGCAGCAGTTAAGACTTTTCTCACCGCTCAGTCCCCTCCTTTCAGAAACCATGTCCTCGGAGTTAAGGTTTGTCTGCAGGAACAGCTGCCTTCAGATGTGAAACAGGAGAGACCAGCAGCTGTCAGAGGCTTTATTCCGGTTCACTGCAGAGAAGACTGGGAGCTATTCAAAATGCCTAGGCTTAAGTAAATCATCGCAGATTGTTTTGATGCAAATAATGTGAATAAAGAACCTAGGATGATAAATATCAAAGAGATATTTATGTTTGTTGATTTGCAGAACCATGTCATTTTTCAAAACGCACCCATAATAGGTTTGAAATGCCAACTCCTTTATAATCAAACGGTGTGCACTTAACTGTCTTTAATTTACATTTCAGAGACATAAAATAGTACAGTCTCCTGTCTCTGACACCGACTGAAAAGGTGTAAGAATAGTGATTTGTAATTTCCAATTGAAAATAACAGACAAACTGGCAAGTGTCTCATCTCCCCAAGTGAGAAAACAGACAAAGGTTTAAATGGCAACATTGAGCTGTGTGGAGCGTTTACTACTATAAGGATATGGTTTGTACTGGTTCAGGAAACCAGGGGTTAGACATAGCATACAATGGGTTTTATTATATACTTAATACATCAAGGAATATAAAAGATGTCTGTGACAGAAAGCTGAAGCCTTCCAGGTTGTGCTAAAAGAAGAAATTCTGTTTCTGTAGTATTCATAATCCTTTACTTGAATGAAGCAAATTAGAAAAGAAGTAATCCAAGAATGTCAGTTCCATTAGCTACACGGCAATCTCAGCCTGAACAAAATAATGTTAATACATAATATGGAATGCAAAGGAAAAATAATTATTTGTAATCAATATTCTTCAGACTACTGAAGTGGAGCCTTCTTTAAAGTTTCTTCTTTACAAACATTAGGCCTGACACTGACATTACAGTTCAGATGTAGTCCATGTAGGTCTTGAATCGTAAAGATTCAATGAAACCTTTAAGTGTAAATATCTCTACATTTGCCTGAGTTTCCTGAATGAAACCCAGATAAATGCATTTATTTGGCTTTTGTTAAGGTCCACTGTTGGTAAAAAAGAGGTGTGCTGTAACAGGTTTTTGCGTATGTTTTTCTTATGTTGTTTTGCACACTCAAGCGTATCATTTTTCTTCACTGTATTTCCTGATGGCCAACAGCTGGGATGCAGAACATGCGAAAATATTTATGGGATACGTGGGATAGTCGCACCTTGTTCTGATTTTCAATTACATTAAAATCTTTAAAATTAAAATCAAATAAATTAAAATAAAAATTAGCATGGAATAAACCTATTACTTGTTCTTTTGCAGCCTACGTATGCTGACGCAGCTACCCACCTAAATTAAAATATGTAAACCATCTATACATACGCAAGTATGAATAGCTGAATTTTCATTCGTGTTGAAGTGTTAATCGAGGCTAAACTAAAAGCTTAAACAGATTAGACGCAGCTTAAACACTATGTTACACAATCTAGTCAGCTTTGAATAACATTATGACAAATGATGTGATAAGAACTGGGTTCAATTCTGTTCCTGGGGTACTGTCTGTGTGGAGTTTGTATGTACTCCACCATGTTTGAGGGGGTTTCTCTGGGTGCTCTGGTGTCCTCCCACAGTTGAAAGACCTGCTGGTAGATTAATTGGCCTCTTGGAGAACTGGCTTAGGTGTGTGTGTGTCTGTGTGAGTGAGTGTGAGTGTGAGTGTGTGTGTGTGTAGGTGCCCTGCAGCATCCTTGCCCTGTGCCTATTGCTTGTCAGGATAGACTCCAACTCCCCCGTGACCCCGAGTTGGAAGAAGAGTTCATTATCCTTTAAGGCAGGTTTCACCTTGCCACTAGAGCCTCGTTTGCAATTAGCAGGTTCATACAATGAAATACACAGCCCCACGCCAGACCATGAAGTCCAGCAAATTCTCCCGGGACTCTGCTCCTGCTCCTTCCTGAAAGCCATTGCCCCACACGCGACAGGTGCTACCCCGTGGGGGAATAACTGTGGACTGGGCTCCACAGCCAGATCACACCCTTATGTTAACCGGTGGTTCCTTGAAGAAGACAGTACATGTATGCAAGCTCTTTTTTGAACCTGAGATTGGGCAATTTATGAAGTAGTTTACCAAGCTGCGTGGCTAAATCCAGACATTTCTGGACCGTTAAGAAGAGACTGGATAGACAGCAATGAGGGCTTTTTTTCCTGTGTCTTTCTTTTGTTCTGTTTAAGCTGCATGTAGGTTGATGAATGAGATCTGTTTGACATGTTTAGAGCTGGGGACTGAGGTTGGGGTGGGCTTTGATAAGAACGGTGGAGCATAGACAGTCTTCTTCCTCTTCCTCTGTGAGAACGTCTTCTGGAGAGGTTTGGGTGTGTACATGGCACTAGCACAGACCCGTGCTGTGAGCAAAGTCTACCCACCCACACTTGTTTTACCCTCTTAGCAGCTACAAAGAGTAAACTCTGTCCCTCTTGGTGTTCCCCTCTGCCTCTGCCTTTGTGAAAATCCCCAGGGAAGCTCAGGTGTCTGTCACTGGTCTTGTTAAATACAGGGTCTGTCTTTAGTCTCGTCAGTGACACAGTAGAGTGCGTTTCCTTTCACACTGTAGAAGAAATGAATGAATGCTCAAAATCATGAGACTCTACCAGCATTCCTCTCTGTATTGGGGAGAAGTCCTACGGGGAGTGAAAATGCAATCGTGCCTTTTCAGCGTAAAACTCTACTCCTCGTGCTGAGTAACAGACGCTGAGCAAAGCAGTATCAAATGTGACTGTACCGTGGCACCAATGCCGGGTTTTGATTCTCAAGGGCAGTATGACAAGAAACGTTTGGGTCATTAAAAAAAAACACGTAACGAAAAGCGGGGAAAAAAGGCTTCTGTCGTTCTGCTCCGCCGGCTAATGTTTCTCCCCGTGCTCCGCAGCTGCGAAGTGAGGCCGGGCCCGGAGTTCCTCACCAGGTCCTACCAGTTCCACCACAACCACACCTTCCAGGCCTTCCAGTTCTACTACGGGGACAACCACTGCACCACGCCCTCCTACACGCTGGTCATCCGGGGCAAGCTGCGCCTGCGCCAGCCCTCCTGGATCATCCGCGGCGGCACGGAGGCCGACTACCAGCTGCACCGCACCCAGATCGTGTGCCACAGCCAGGCCGTGGCCCGGGACATGGGCCGGCGGCTGGGCCGCGGCTGCCGGGGGCTGGCGCGCGGGGGCGAGGCCTGGGAGCCCGGCGTGGCCTACGAGCTGTGGGGCGAGGAGACGGGCTGCGACTGCTCGCGGGCGCTCAACTTCGCCATGCACGAGCTGCAGCTGCTGCGCGTGGAGAAGCAGTACCTGCACCACAACCTGGACCACCTGGTGGAGGAGCTCTTCCTCGGAGACATCCACACCGAGCCCGCGCAGAGGATGTACTACCGGCCCTCCAGCTACCAGGCCGCCCTGCAGAACGCCAAGGTGAGCCGGGAGACTCGCGCCTCTCCTGCACGCCCGCTTCCAGAGCGTATCTGCTGTATAATGAGCTGCATGATTTGGCTGAAAATGGGAAACTCTATACTGTTCCAAAATTTAGAGGACTGCAACATGCCCGTTTAAGATGCACATAGAAATTTTTTCTCCTGCCTTTTTGATCTTTTTTTTTAATTGAATGTGCTTTATTAAATCAGATAAAGCACATTACATTGGTGGTTACAGTACGTGTTGCCTGCATCACGCAAAAGGGTTTTCCTTTTTCCTGCTTTCTGAAATGCCCAGAAGTGAGTCCTGGAGTGCGCAGTCTGTGTGACTTGACCGAAGAAGGTAGGGCTGGGCTCCTGGGTTCCCTGTAGGCAGGGAGTTTGAGGTGGTTTCAACAGAAGTAAATAAAGTGGGGATCGTAGCACCCTGCTGCACGCTGGGTATGCCTGCAGAAACTGCATCTCGAAGATCACTCCAGGGGGAATGGCAGGCAAAACATGGAGGATGGGTTTTAGATAAGATAAGATCATTTTATTGGCCATATGCAATTTCTTGTATTAGGAATTTGTCTTTTCGCATACCCTAGCTTGCTCTCCATGAGACACACAGACAGGGAGAGAAGCTGGGGGTCAGAGCGCAGGTCAGCCATTTATACGGCACCCCTGGAGCAGTTGGGGTTAGGGGCCTTGCTCAGGGGCCCAACAGAGTAGGATTCCTCTGCCAGCTGCGGGATTTGAACCAGCAACCTCCCAACCATAGGTGCAGATCCTGAGCCACAGAGTCACCCCCCCGCCCTGGGGTTTGGAGTTGCAGTTGTGTTTGTGCGTCACAAATTCATGGCATTGCGAAAACAAATGCACTCGTTAGTATAAATAAAGGTATGAAAAATTGTTGGGAAAACAAATACGGTTTTATACAATAATAAGTCACAATGTAATCTGAAACACAACAAAACGCCTTTAACTGCAGATAATGGAAATGGGCAGCAAAGGGAACAATGTGGAAAAATACAACTAATTGCTTATTTAAAAATATTTTCGATTGTCATGAGCTTGGACTTCTTTGTGTGTGAAGGTCATGATTGCAAAATCCCAAGTGTAAATGAATAGGATGTATAAAATATAGGAATAGATCTGATCTAAGTCTCGTATGAAAGTGATTACAGCAAGTAAAGCATAATAAAGTGTTTGAAAATTATACTATATTAAATATTTTAGTACATCAATAGTAATAATAGTAATAGTACACAATAATATTATCTTAATAATATAATTATTATCTATAATCTTATTGTATTGCAGATGACTAAAATAAGATTACTAGAACCACCACAAGAGCAAACAAATCTAGTTTCTGAGATGTGTTCATACATTTACGCTCCTATTGTGCTGCTAGTGTTTCTCAAACCTGAAACCCGAACTGTTGTTTTCTGACTGTTGAACAGGGGTTTAACTGTGAATGTGAAATTCCTGATTAAGATAAATAGGAATCTATGCTCCCTGCTCTTTAGATTGAATGCTTGTACAGGTTTTGAAATGTGTGGAGTTATTCCTTATCCACAAAACACTTAGAAGAGCTGGGAACTACATTCCCAAATGTAAAATTGTGGAGGGGCTGACAACGGCCAAGTCCAGTCAGACTCAGTAATGCACAATCCCTCCGGACGTTATTTCCTCTCCTGAACTGTTATAAGTACCTGCTTGTTGCCCTTCTCCACCCCACTTCCCCTCTGCAGCTGCCCCTTGGTCACCCTTCACTCTGCAAGGGGGTCTAAACCACCTTAGGAATTATTTGAAATTATCCGCCAGATGAAGATTGGCTAAAAAAAAGTGATTTTTCATAACATTATATATGAGAGAATTTTGTGTGGAATATTACAGGTGGGTGATGTATGTTTTGCACAAAAGAACCTTCATGGAAATCAATTTTGCAGGCTTAATTCAAATTGAAAAATAGTTCACCCCGTCTCATGTGTTTTGAGAAATTAGTCTGGAGCATGAAATTCTGCACTGTCAGCATCTTAACACGTAAAAGCGCCTGTAGGACAAAAAACATCTTTGTCCAAATGCTGACTCATGATTGTAGCTATTCTGTAAAGGTGGTCAGGGATCCAAAAACCTGTTTATGACCAACTAATTATTTAATATTAATAATAATAGATATGGCATTTTAAAGTCGGTTATGAAATGAAATTCACAAACTCCCATATGTAGCCTAGTTTTATCATTTTCAGCGATTGCGGTTTGATTTCTAGTGCGCAACAAGACAACAGATTGGAATGTTCTCTTCACTTTGCACACTACTAATATATGACAGGACTTTAATTCCAAGAAACATGGGAATTATTTTAAAATGTCTACATCTTATTTAACCTCTCCATCTTGCGTTTGGCTAAATTGGAATTAACAGAAGAGCTTACGAAAATGAGAAGCCTGCAAGATGACTGCAGAAGCAGAGGGCCTCTGAGCTATCTCGAAGTCTGGAGAGCACATCTCCATGACAAATGAACATTTTCCAACATATCTTTCTGTTGTGTAGTTTGGTGCTTTTGAAACGGATCTAAGAATCTATGCCGCACAAATAAATCTAATTAAAAGCAAATGAATGACTTAAGTGGTTCCAAATCCACAGGCTTCAGCTATAAACAAACGCATTTCGGCAGTACCCCAAACTTCTCTGCCTTCGCCACAAACGGCAAGAATGAAAATGTGTTTTCCACATGACAGTCGCAAACAATCTGCTCCATTCGTACAAGAGAGAAGGAAATCTGACTCGGCTCCATCACTGCAGCGCGAGTCTCAAGTGAGAGAATATTCCAGCTGAATTCTCCTGCGTCCTCATGCAGGTGGGACAGGGGCATTACAAGAGTACCCCGTCTTCAAGAGAGGGAACTGAAACCATCGGAATGGGCGATGTTGATCTTCAAGCTGCTTGCAGCGACAAACGTTGCTGTGTTGCAGTTCAGTGCTGCTTTTCAATCCAGCTCATGCAGTGTGATGGAAACAGGCAAAGGAGAGCGAATACTAAGCAGTACCCCTGTGTTACTGTAATTCTCCAACGCTGGAGAATCTGAGAATCTGACACGCAACAGGCACTGAAGCCTCCATTTGTTAAGAAGGGATGGTTTCTTTTAAAAAAACATCTGGCTGGCCTTTATACTTTATGTCCTATTTTTTGTATTTTCAACATTATGTCTTTCTGATAAATGAGATGAAAATATGATGTATTTTCTTTATTTTACTTTCTAAGATGGGGGATTCCTTTGTGCATGGCTCCAAGTGACTGTATTGACGCAAGGGCGGGATACCACAGTGTAATGAGTAATTTTAGACAGGTTTCTGGCCTAGCTGTATAGGTGATTCACATAGTAATAGAACTGTATGTGGTACATACAGTACTGATTTGTACTCATTGTAATGCACTGTAATGCAATATTTTTGGGACTCGGTCTGTTCTGAAGTCCACAAAGGGCATTAATGCTCCCATGAAAAGGAATTCATAGTTACAAAGGCTAGTGAGTGCTAGGCTGTTAAAGCTCAGATGTGAAGCTTTGCATATTGCTGGTCACGACTGTCTTTCACCCACTCATCCGTCACTGACTGAGCCCATCCAGATGACAAATTGAACTCGCACCGCACACCCGATCACATGAGCCGTTGAAGTGGTGACGCGTGCCGTTTGTGCCGTGATCATGCCCTCTCCGCTGTAAGAATGGGCACGGAGGATGGTTCTCATCCCTGACCCACACGCAGCTCCTTTATACTTGACCAGTCTGAGAAAGAGAGATGAGAGAAAGAGCCGAGCAGCAGCATTGGGGGGAAAATTCAGCGGCGAATAGCAGCTGGTGATTCATGAGAGATATTCACACTGCCTAGACTGAAAACAGCTCTTGCCGGTTTTCTTACTTTGGTGAAGCTATCGTGATATATTATTTCCGGCTCCTTAACTACCCGGTGATGTCCTCATATGTGCGATTTTTATTTTCAGGTCTGTTCCAGCATAATATATCAAGCTTCTGACAACCCAATTTTCAAAGTAAATGAAAGACAATGACACGGCGAGGACAGGCCCTAGAGGAAATGTGCTGTGCTCTGTCCGTGTGGCGATGAGAGCTAGTTTACCTGGCCTTCACACTTCCTGGCCATCAGCTGTGTTAAGCCTCTTCAGCTGTTGCTGCTGGAGTTAGTGAGTCCGGCGAATTTCTGAATACAAATAATGTCTGCAAAATACACCTGACAGGGCAAATGACATATGGCTTTGCTTAAAAAAGAACAGGAAGCCTCTCGTGTTAAAGACTGGTTTCTGAATCCCTCGCGTTTCCACAGAAGTGAAAGGTAAAGCGCACTAGTGAAGGAGCCAGCTCTGAATGAGACCGAATGTACTGTAGGGGCGCGAGGAGTCACAGCACAGCCCAGTGAAGGTTTGAGATGAGTTTGATTTTTAATCAGACTGGCTCTTCTGGAGAACACTGAAGGAGACATGCACAGGGTATATTTCCCACAGTGCAACAGGGTTTTAATAGTCCCAGTGCAGCCATGTTATTACCATGAATGGGGGTTTAAGAGTCCGTATTCTACTTATGGTCCAGTGGCAAGTCCTGATGATGTTATCCTCCCTTTCAGCTATTCCTGAGGGGTCAGGTACAACAGCAGGTGTCTGCTCAAAATTCTCTCAAGCCAGATGAGGAGCAATGTCCCCAGGCCAGAGTCAAATTTCTATAATACACAATCAAATGTTATACATCTGACACGTTAAGACGGCTGTGAATTAAAATTTCACTGATGCTGTAGCAATTTGAATTTGTTGGAATAAAATGATGAGCAGCACTGTTGCTGTGGAAGAGCATATTGCCAATTTGAAGTTGCCTGTTTTTGTCTGTTCTTTTATTATCTCATTCACATAAACTCAGTTGGCCACTTCCCTGAGGAAAGGAAAGAGGATAGAGCATTTTACAGGCCCTTAAAGATATATTTAAGTTAATCTGCTATTACTAAATTATATTTGCCTTTGAATTTCTTTCACATCCTGTTTAAATATATTTAATCCCTTTATTTAAGGAGTGAATGGAAAGCTATGCAATTTAAAAATGGTAAAACCGCAAATAAAGAAACAAGGATTTACCTAAGGCTACAATTTGTCATTGGTATCTCTGGCCATATTTAACCAGACTGATGCTTCAGTATGCTCAATCTATGTAGGAGTTCATGTAGGCAACCTACTGCAGAAACAGAAGAGCAAGGTACGTTCCTGCATTTGGAAAACACAATAGGAAAAACTGCTTAAATGATCCGGGGACAAAGACATTACTGTGCACAAGACACGAGTTCTCTTTTCACTGGCATAAGTGTACTTGTACTGTATGTGATTGTGGTAACACTGGAATGAGACTAAACTAAAGACACTTATAACTCCTTCAGTCGCCATTACACGGTTTAGCAAAAGACATGATCTGTTACAGCGATTTGTGCACAGTGTACTGTACCATCGGACACAGTTTGCATATAGCCACGCCCTGTTTATAAAATAAAAGCCCACAGAACCCAGAGCGTCTTGAGACGGGGACATATTGGGGGATTCAGTCTGCGCCCGTGCTCTTCTCTTCCACTGGAGTAATGCCAGTATGCCACAGCAGGAAGATGGAAGAAGCCAGAAGCCATTCACAATATCTGCGGAAGCAGATGCAGATGGGAGAGGAGTGTGACGCATGTGCAAGGACTTGTGGTTCATGAAATTACAGTGTTTACAAAAGCATAATGATAAATGACGGAACCGTTCAGCCTTTAAGGCTCATACATTGTATATTATTCTTTTCTTAAAACACCCTTAATTTTGGAACAAGTTTACAGTCTGCAGACATTTCAGAGAATGTCAGCTAGTTTTTTTTCCCCTTTAGCTCTGTTAACGGTTTGTGTCTGAGAAAGGACTGCGGACCCCGGGCAGACAGTGACTTCCCCACAGAGCCATAACATGTTTTAAAAGGCAAATAAAACATCTCACATACCCTTCCTGCTGGACAGCGTGAATACAGCAGGTTACAGCAAGCCCTCTCTTGCCTCTCTGTTTCAGGCAGGACACTTTCAGGCGGGTGAAGGGTTCAATTCTCTCTCTGTACACCATGTTCAGCAAAAAACCAGTAGCAACATTAAATGTATCTCCTGTTGATAAAACTAGGGGCCTCCAGACACAAAGAATGCTTGTTTTAATAATCCCAAAGAATTGTTTTTGTGTAGAAGACCAATCGCGACTACCTGTTTTTAGAAAACACTGATACAACTCAGTTACTTAGAAATCTTGTGATTGTCGTAGAAGTTTGCTTAACCAATAGAAATCCAGTACGATTGAAGATTTCCTTTATGAGGCTTAAGCTCTTTGTCTTCCTTATCAAGTAAGTGTATAAAAGGCCAGCTGTAATTTTCCTTGTCAGAATCATCCTCCTAATTGCAGGGAGGGTGCTTCTTTTCCGCCCTCTCGGGCAGG